GTTAGTAAACATGCTATGGTATATGTTTGATTGACAGACCCAAGTGTATTTAAAGGTATATCTGAATCAAAAATATGAAATTCTTTCAGTCTTCGTATTGCTCGCTCTACGTGTATTCGTAACTTGGCAATAGTTTTCGTTTCTTTAACTTCATGACTAGCAAATTGGCTTTTACTTTGCAAAAATGGAGGGAGATTTAAAGTTACATTTTTCACCAGTAGCAAGTCTTCAATTTCAAAACCTTTGTCTGCCATGACACAATCACCAGGCTCTAAAAAAGATCAAGTATTCCAGAACATCTGTTTATTTCCCTATCAGAAATAGCACGTGTGTATAGGTTAGAAACGAAAATAATGGCTCCTTTTGGAGACCTTCCCACAAGTCCCTTTAATGTTGTATTACTCTTGTAAGCAGAGTAGAGCTGTCATTGTAAAAGTAAAGAAGATGGTGTTTGTACATACAACTCTGTACAATCAATTATAACTCTTGTGTTGGGATAGAGTTTTAAAAATTCATCTGACATGGAATTATTTATCTGCTCTCTGGTTGGCCAAATGGACTGAGAAGCTAACAAAAAATAAAGGTAGTTGATCCAAGTGGTGAGCTTTCGACTTACTGATGAGGGGTGTAAATTAAAGCAAAAAGCAAGATCCTGCTGGAATAATCCAAGTCTGATACGAACAAGACACATACAGCATTCATCAATCAAAAGCATTGACAGTGATGATGGCCTGCTATCTAGTACACCTGAAGCATAGCAGTATGTCATGTTTTCAGCAGATGGCTTGAAAAATTCATAGAAAGCAATTAGGTGCTCATAAGTAGGAAACCCAGTATAAAACTTAATGCTACTACTATCCCTAGTAAACCTTTGTACCCCAAATTTATATATTTTCAGAGTAACTTCTTGTTTTTCTATTTCATCTCTTGCCTGTTTTGTAGCCAAGTTTGCCTTCTGAATTTCTAATTGTGCGCAGATTTTGAATTGTGAATATTCATCTTTGGCGGATTTCAACTCTAGCTCTAAGGCCTTCAACTGTTCTCTAAGAACATCTATTTCACTACTTTCACTGCTGATCTCAGGTTGTTGGTTTTCTTCCATGTCAACATCAACATTGTCATGTGTCTCAGTCGAAGACCTAGAAATAGGAACAGAATGACCTTTAAGCATGGAATATTCTAGAATTCTAACATAAGAAGGAAAAGAAAATTTACCTTTCAACATGAATAATTTTTCTCCTCACTTTGGCATTTGGCTTCCATGTAAATATGCGAGGAAATGCACCTTGCTTTAACAGTGACGTCCTGCATTGTCAGTGGGCAAGAAGTCTTCCTCCAAAAAATGCTTCGAACATACTCTGGTATTGTTTGTAATCTATGAAAACGAAACACGGGCTTTAATTTACAATGATTGATAAAAATGCCACGAACTACATTTACTATCATGTCCAATGTTAGATCAATTGGTGTTCACTTAATCGAGCAAACAGTTCTAACCTTGAAAAGATCACCATCTCTTCTAATTTTTGAACTCCAGATCTTTCTAAGGTCGTTATTCTTTGGGATTCGATGAAAAGACAGAGAGGAATCGTATCGAACGTCCCCCTCACACTCTGGAACACAACAATGATCATTGGACTTCTTCATCCTCTTGGAAGGATGTTCAGCTAAAATATGTGAAGAAATTCAGGATTAGTCGAGAAAATAATTGATAGCAATCTTAAAAGATCAGTCTCGTCATCTTTTATTAAAGATCTGCAAACTGAAAACAAACTTACGATTTCTCGTGTGTTGAGATTCCCATGGTCCAGATTGCTTTTGTTGTGCTTTTGTCTGTGAGGCGTCCTTGAATGTAGAATCGAGATCGAGAGACAAGCATTGAGTCTCATTAGCTGTTAAAGGAAGGTTAATCTGATAAGTTGTAACTGATATTAAAAAGAATTCAAAGAAAGTTCAGATATTAGCGAAAAACTTGCGTTACTTACTCATTGTTGATTCCGCCATGTTTGTCTTGCTGGCGCTCACTTCGCGAAGTCAAAACTTCGTCAAAATTCTCTTTCTTC